TTTTCAAAAAAATGCTCACATTTTCCAAAAGGCATGGTCCAGCAAGGTTGATTGATCAACCTTGATAAATCCATCTCAGTGAGTGTCTAAAATTTTAATACAGTAGTTCATAATGTTCTCAGAATGAAACTAAGAAATAGAAAATAGTGCTCATGGCACAAATCTTCAGCAGGCCTTTCATCTTTTCAAACAAGTTTTTTGTAATCTCCTACCGCATTCTGCTCAGCTTCCAAGCATTTGGAGTCCTACTGAAGTAAGTATTGAACTATTTTAGACACTGCAAAGTTCCATCAATGAAAAATGTCTATGACTGGAATCTCTGATTATCTTTCTTCCTTAGTTTTAGCTTCCCATAAATCTATATAATGCAAACTATTTTTAAGCCAACCTGAATACAGCTAACAGTTCTTTATCTGAAGTAGAATCTTGTAGCATTTCTTCCAATTCACCTTTTAATGTTCCCTCTGTGACAACAAATAAGTGGTAATAACCATGAAAACTATATCCAGACTGTAAGAAACAATGCATGTTGTCCTCACATATGTGGTGCCCTGCTTCTGTTCATACAGGAGGTGGAGAAGTATGCGTGTCTCATGGAAGAACTAGGATTCATACTTACTCTGTGTATGTCTAAATAGAATACTCTGTAGTCTTGAAGCTTTGAATCTTAAAGCTTGACTTTAGCAGCCTTAAAAAATCTTATGGATTTTTTGTTACTAAAAAAAAAAAAAGAGAGAGAGAAAAAAAAAGTTGCTGTCAGACTGAGATCTAGTGTGCCAAGTTTCAACCTGAAGAAAAATTTTAGATTTCAGTTACAAGTACATAATCCAACTAAAATTGTAACCTGGAATTGTCTCATAATATAATAAAGGGGGGGGGGGGGGGGGGGAGGGGGAGGAGGGAGGAACAAACAAATAGAAAACACTTAGTATCTTAGCCATAGATAGAGAGAGTTTTCTTAAGGTAAGTTTAAAGACTGGCCTTATTTTTGTGCTGCTATATACTTTTCCCTGAAGAAACAGTAATTGTGCCCTAAGGTCAAACAGGTGCAGCACCGATCTATACTCTGTATGTGCATTTATCTCTCAGACTCTCTCTTCTATTAAATATTTCAGTTCTATCAGATTTGGGGGGTTTATACTAATAATAGGAGCTATTTCCTATGTTTTTAGTTTAGGGAAAGTCTTGTAATAATCCTAGTTTTTATGAGAAACGTGAGAAGTAATTGCTGGTTGTGTAAGTATTTTTAGCTTCTGGCTCATTCAGAAGGAGCACTTAATTTTCTCACTGTGTTATCATTACCCTCAATGAATTGTGTGGCTTTGTGGAGAGATGAGAGAAGTCATTACACCAGAATGATTTTGAATCATTGAAACTTTATAGACCATTCCCTCTGCCTTTACCCTCCTTTATAGTATGCAGACAGACAGGGCCACCATAGCACTTAACGGTACAGGTAATACTGTTCCAAGCACTGTAGAAACAAAGTCCAGTCATCTTGATTATGCTTGATGTACTCTTCTGAAATGGTTACCATTGATAATTGGACAAATGGTAAATAGTATTAAAATTGAGGATTATTTGTCCACAGAACTGTGAGATCCATGTTCATAGTTCTTAGTAAGGTGGTAAGACTGTGGTGAGTGAGGGATTTCAGAATAACTATTAGTTAACTCATAGGATAATTTAGAATAACTCGTAGTTCTATACAGCGTTACTGAGCCAGTAGTGAAAATCTAATTGTTAGGTGTTATCCTAAAAAGGGGCAGCTCTTGCACAAAGACTAGTGGGGTAGGTCCCCACTAACATTGTTTTACTCATGAGCTTTATGCCTTGCACACTGTACAGGGACAGTACATATGCTACCTGCAATCCTGGCACCATTGCACACAAGATGAGGAGCATTAACCTGGAAGTCAATGGATTTTGTGCCTGTGAATTAGTCCTCAGTAAAAACATTAATATTGCCTTTAATTCTAACTACTGGGGGAAGAGAATTTAAATATCAGATCAACTTGTACTGACTTTCAGCTGACATTGAGCTATTTCTGTAAATCTTATGTATTTTCCTGAAAAGGTTTAGCCCAAGATCAAATTGTTTCTTAATGTGACAAAACTGGTTCCACTGTTCACCATGTAGCAGCGTAGTCATCTCTGAAGGATTCCAGTGCGCTTCTTGTTGAACTAGAAGGCAAACCTCTTATGATGACTGTGGGAGTAGATACATACCCACAGTCTCTATCTGCAATAAACGTTCCTTGGCCTTGGAGAACCTTGACCTAACTGATTTCTGTGACTTCAAAATACTTAGAGAACTGAAATTCATTTTGAGCAGTACTTCTAATGGTTTGCTATTAATTGAAGTCCATTATTTGATCAAAAACTGAGTAGTTTGGGGGTCAAATAATTCTAATCAGCCCATGCAAAATGAGACTGTGAGAATAATATGTTTTCATAACTTTGAACTGTACTTGGTAATTCTGAAATTCTGGAGGACCAAATGGCTTATGCGATTGGCAAGGAAAAATATATATAACATTTCTTTTTCTGTTAGTGCTAAAAATGTGGCTCAAAAAAAAGCTTTTATTGGTCCAAAAGGTCTTCCCTGTCATCATAGTTGATGGATTATCATCACTGTAAGAGAATTATCTCAGTCCTGTTCCTCTGAAGTCAGTGTTTAAATCACAAAAATATGTAGCTTGAGGCACCTGGCACAATTTCTGGTTGTTTATTTGGGGAAGATGGGGAACTGAATTGGCAAAGAAACCAAGATCAGCTCCATCTCCATTGTCATGGTATGAAGGATATGGGCACATCTGAGTAAGCTGGCACTGCTCTATTCCATGTTAGTGTCCTACAGGTTGAAAATTGCAGGTCTGTAGCTTTTTCCAAGTAATGAATTCAAGATATTTTGGATACGTGTCTGCCCTAGAGAAAGAGAAGATTGTGTTTATCTCAAATTTCAAGAGATAAGGGAAAAGGCGACACAGTAGTTTGGATTCTCAAAACTGCTGAGTGCCTAAATTTAATTAATTAACTCGAAGTTAGGCAGTTGAATATCACTGGCTTGATCATTGCAAAAAAAAAAAAAAAAAAGGCTCTTCATAGATCTGTGAATGGTTCTCTTGTGCTTTCTTTTTAAGAGTGTCTTCCATTTTAGCTCAACAACCATGAAGTCTTACTTCCTGCAAGAAACAAGAATAATTTAAAATAGGCTCTAACAGAGCAAAAATATTTCAATTAGATATACTGGAAATTAAGAAAATATGGAAAAAATACAATTCAGGGATAAGAAAGCTGCATTCCAATTAGTGTAAACTTGCAATTAATAAGCCAACATAAGGGAGTATGAGACATTTTTATGTACAGGCATGTTGCATTGGAAAGAAATTAGTGTATAAAAATAAATGGGAAAATAGGAAGAACTTGTATATGCATAGAAAAACATAATTTGAGTGATAATTATTATATTAATGTACCATGTTTTGCCAAACTTGAGCAGGGTATTTTTTTGAAGGTCAACTGGCCTTGTTAGTATTCTGAACACAATACACCTTGCTTTAATAGGTCTAAGCACACTTAGCAAATGTGAGCATACATAAAATATTTTAACAAACAGACCATAGGAGCAACTTTTTAGTTGCTTTCTTTCACAAGGTTCATATTATGTGTTCAGTACTCTGCAGATAGCTCTGAAGAATGTAGACAACTTTAATCCAAAAAGTGGGAGACAGACTAGAGGGGAAATTAAATTGTAAGACTGTTTTAAAACCATCTTATTTTGAAATATTGGGGCAAAATTTTCCTTCATGTTCTCTTCTACACATTGAAGTAAAGAAGGTCTTCTGTGTTTTCTGAATCTGTCTTGCTGAAAGAAAGATTTAAGCTTATGGCTGGTAGTTTTATTTATTATTTTTCATCTTTTTCTTCTTTCACATAAGCTGCTTTCTTTTGAAAAGCCTTAGATTGTTTGCCATACACTTTTGTGAACTGTTCCTATACCTTTTACCAAATACTGGGATGTTGATTAATGGATTGAACTTCTTCCATTAAATTCAAAACTTACTGGAAATAGAAGATGAAAAGGACAGTTTTACACAAATTAATTCCAGAATGATTATCGATTAGAAATGTTCTTCACTACTTGCTTCATTTTATATTCATAATAAGTTGGTTATTCTTGTTGTTCTAGAAAAATAAATATCCATGTTCACAGTTTTGCTAAATGTAACACAGATTTTAACTGTCCTAAGACAATGTTTTCATAGTCATTCCATTATCTATGTAAATTTTTCATATTGAAAACTAATAATATTTATTTACGTTAGAAATATTAGTCACTAATTTGATAATGCTTGATAACAAAAGTTACTCTAGATGATAATCATTTTGTTTGCTTCTATTAGCAAATACTGAATGCCATTAGGAGAACCCAAAGCACGACTATAAAAATCTTTTTATATGCTTCCTGTACTGAAGAGGTGTTGTCCCACTAAAAATAGATCTTTGTGTCACTGTAAAAAGTTATGGACTTTGTCTTCTTGGTACATTCAATTTTAATTATTTCAATTATTTGTATATATAATTATCTGTGTATATATATATATAAGCCACTTCTGAGAACTTTGTTCTGTACGCAAACCCTCCATTAAAATCCTTAAAATTAAAAATTGAAATCCTTTTAGCATTGTCACTCTTTAGGAGAGTATGGTAGCCTCAACAAAAAATCAATAACTTTCTGTGAGGCATTGTGGTCAAATAGACTTCCATAGGTCTACTGAACAATGATTCTTACTGATTTTAGGGCTTAGGCAAGATGCAAAATTGGCACATCCAGAAATCACACTGTTTTCTGAAGCTTTTATTGTTTTAAGCACGGACTAACAACAATTCTGTAAGTGTCTGTAAGGTTTGTTAAACCAAAATTTACATTTAGAAGTAATAAATTGCTGACCATGAAATGTCTTGACATAATATTCATAGATGCTCATTTTTTTCAGACATCATCGCAGTTTCTTAGGAGAAGGTCCTGAGCTGTGGAAAACTGAGAATTTTCAGTTCTGCTGATCTCTATGTCGTCTGCCATATCTTGTCCTTGCCTAAGAGGCTTGCAGCATGTTCCAGAGCACATCTGAATCCCAGGTAATTAGTTTATTGCTCCTTGAAACTCTTGGATATTTCCATGTCATTCCCACTTTTCATCAGGATAAAACTGACTTTAAACTTTTCTTTTTAAAGAAAGAGAAAACTTTGGTTTCAATATTTCCATGCTTTCAGCTCTGCATAATTTAGAAATAGGATAAGTATCCTCCAATGGTGAATACCATATCAGCTATTTGCATATCCCTTTCTTTTTTTTTTTTTTTTTTTTTGTTCTTTATTGCACCACAGTTAGTCAAATCTTCAGTTTCTGTGAAATCCTGTAGTAAAAAATGAGTTTTACTCTCCCTTTCTTTCTTTTCAATTTTGCAAGGCAGTAGGAAACTGGCAAGTGTACTGGGATTTTTTAAATAAGTTGCACTTATCAAACATTTTACTGTTTTGACATGTGCTGATATTGTCCGCATATATTTTTAATGACAAGTTATGTCAAGCTGCATCTGCTTTAATCTCATGTATTTTGGCAGTTCCTTAACTGGATGACTCTTACTACACCAGGTTGTTATAAAAGCAATTCCTTTCATTTTCTTCTTTAACTGACAAAAACATAAGGGTCTTTACATTTTTAATGACAAACAGGGTTTCTGTATTCAGAAAAATGAAAAAGAAAGCTTTTTGAAAAAATCAGTGCAGTACACATTTGTATGCTCCTTCTGTCATAACTAAAGAAAAACTGTACAGACAAGGACATGAGTGTAGTTCCTTCAAGGTTTTCTACCCATCACTTGCTTTTGAAAATCTTGTCACAATAAACTTGCATGTACTTGACGTTAATGGGTGTTCGTCCATGGAAGGAATATCCCTTTACATAAAAGGGATTCTTCCAAAAATCAAATGAAAAATATATGATCTGAGAAAGAGGTAAATATCAACTAGGAAATGTGCTGTGCTTGTTGCCTCCTGTAAAGGGGGTGAAAACTGACTCTACAGTGCATCTTGATTATTAACCCAAAGAAAAGCTTAAAGTGTACAGAAGGAAGGCTGGATAAGTTCTTAATTCTGCAAATCACTGTTCTAAAAGGTTCTTTCTAGATACAGCTTCTTTCCTATATTAATAAGGAAACACAAATTTAAGTCTGTGGTACTTGTTAAAGATAATTAAAGTTTGTTTTCTTTTTGCAAGGCATAATACATGTAGTTTGCATGGAAAATAATCGCAATATAGATTATACTAATGAACTCAAACTATTGAATCTAACTTTTTTTTTTCTTTTAGTAAAAAGGTGATGTAAAATGTTTTTTGAATAAAAGGGAATTATTTTAATTTCTGAAAATAAATCCCGTGAAATATGTTCTTTCAATATTTATTACTATGACAGGTTTCACATTCTTTTCATTTGGAAAATTCTTCACTATATATTTTTGTTGAATAATAAAGACTTTTTTTGTTTTGTTGTGTTTTTTTTTTTTATATAATTTTGATTTTTAGAATATTTTAAGGAAGTAGACATTTGCATTTCTTTAACTTTTTAAATGAGATTGTGAGAGAACAAGCTAAATCATATTACTCTTTCAACCCTTCCACTGCCAGACTACTGTACTGAAATATTTACTAGCAAGATCTCTCACTTTCTAAAACATTTTTAGCATTGGAAGCAAAAAAAAAATATATATATATATATATGGATTCATGTATGTGGCAGTCATAATCTCTAGTCATGCAGATAAGCATGTTTCTCCCAAAATGCTTTCTGAATGCACTGATGAACAGAGTTGTATTTCTTCAGTAAGTTACTTTCCTCAGTGCTAAACTATTCTTGACCTCAAATGTAGTCTAATTGAATGCACCAAGCTTGAGTGATTTTTTTTGAACTTGCTCCAGTCCCTGCTGAATTTGACAAGAGGCTGTCCCAGCTGCAGACCCAGTAATGACATTTTCTTTAATTAGTCCTACACTGTAAAAAAGGATACATCTTATACACCACCTTTGCAGATCATACCCAGCCTTTTGCTGAGGTCACATTAGCCTCTGCTTCTGGGGAAAAAAAAAAAAAATAATAATAATAACATGTTATAACTTATTCCTTAGCTATCTGTCTTGTCTGTTTGCCTAAAAAAGTAAAAATAGAATTATTTGCTTCTTTCATATTTTAGGTAGTTGGTATCTGTAACAGCAGCAATTAGGTAGCAATTATGGCTACTGCCATAAGCATCAGGTAGATGCTGGAATAATTAATTGACTATTATCTCACAGCTGTTATTCAGAGTGACTGCATCCCACATGTAGAAACAGTGTCTTGTTTCCCAGTACATCCAGAAGCTCCTGGATCTGAAAATCATTTTTCATTGGAATACAAGCATTGTTCAGACGCACATTTCTTGGCTGTTAAAGAGCACAGAAGGGGTATTGGCTGTGTCTTTCAGGCATTCTGTGCCAGCTCAGAATCTCCACCTACTTGTGCACTTGTGCATCTCAAGGGGATTGGCTGCTACCCAGAGGCGAACACAATATTGTGTCCATGCATCCAAGCTTTTAGATTTTAGGCCTTACTTCTTGCTCCTGGAAACTGGATAAAAAACAAAATTAAAACTTTTCTGTTTTCCTCATTACAGGCTGGCATGCACCTGAATGCAAATAGCTGATTGTCCTGTTTTGGGGAACTTTGATTTTATTTTATGTCCTCCTCACACCAGTAGATTGCTTTCCTGTAGCTCTGCAAGCTGATATTTTCATCCTGTAATGCTGTCTTCTCTACTCATCCCTGCGTGCCACTCACTGGCCAAGATAAGTGCAGAATATCTGTTGAAGATTAAGTGTCTGTTCCATTCTGAAATCCCTAAATGTCCCCATGTCTGTGGGGCTCTGATCATCCACCAACCAATGAGTAGCATTAAGGCTGCTCATTCATTCAGTTAACTTTCTACTTCTAACTAATAATTGATTCCAAAGAAGATAAGAACTGCCTGAATGAGATATGTACTACTTTTGGTTATAGAAAGGGGATTGGACTAGGGGTCCGTATGTATTCCACATGGACCTTAAAGGTTTTTATGGTACTCTGTAGCCTGGCAGCTCACTCAAGTGACAGTCTTCCTAACAGTTTGGCTGTTTAAGCTGCAAATTTTCCTTTTGTGTGGCATTTGGTTGCCAATCATTCAACTGTGTCTATTTTCAAGAAGAGTAATGTTGGATATTTTATAATATTAACTTTTTTATTTTAAATAAATTTTATAATGTTAACATGCTATTTTTAAAACCAAAGACTAAGATAAAGAAGTAACAGCAATTATATTATTTACTAAGTAACTAGACAGCTACTTGTATTCTTGTAACTAGTGTGAAGTCAAAAGACAAACAGGTCAGTTTGTTCCCTTTACCTCTGCTATGTAAAACATGCAATTGCAAACCACCCAGTTCTAGACACAGCCTTCAGTTTCTGTCATCTCTTATTCATTTCTCTATAATACTTTCCCTAATATAGTATTTTTGTATGTGTTATAAATGTCTGTGTAGGGCTTCTCATCTTGCTGTTGGTGCTGAGCTCTTTGTTGTGAGTTGTGATAACCCATATTAATCTGTCTTAAAAACTAACTATAGCAGTCAATCAAATTTACCATCTGCCCATCTGGGAACGTCCATGTCAATTCATGGTTCAGCTTCAGCTGAGTCTGGTTATTATTATAAATTGCTCTTTGTAATCTTTTCTCACTTTCATCTCATACCAGTCCATGCTTGACTTCCATATTCCCATTCTCCATACAGTGACAATATTCCTTGCCTTCATTAAGTTAGTGTCTCCTCTGAATGCTGAATTCAGTGCTTTGTAAATAACTGCCAATGAGTTAGTTCCTTTTTTTGTATCTCCTGATGCCTTAGTGCAAGGATAATCATAGATTTTTGCAAACCAAAAGAGACTGCAGGTAGTATAACTGTAAGTGAACCATAATGTATAAAATCTATCTCATAGTTCTTAATCCTCCTGTTAATAGATGGGAAACTGCAATATGCTCCACTAATGTCGTATTAATTGCAACAGAACATCATATCATTACTGATTTTACAATGATGCAAGTAAATATATCAAAATACTGCTTTTGTTAGCATTGTAATTTATTTTAAACACATTTGTTTTGAAAGGAATTGCATGAGAAATCACAGATATTTTAGTATACAAGGTTTCAGCCTTGTAAGGAGGTGCAGTAGTTCACACAGGTTTAATCTAATAGGTTTAATCTAATGTAGTATAATATACATATTTTATATATATTTATATAGTCCTGAGAGTATGTTGAGATCTGAACAGAAATCTGATCATGATACCAGACCATTTCCCAAGAAGCTTTAGATTCAGGTTGTAGTGAAGACACTGTCAATTTGGTATGTGAGTTACATATATAAAAATCAATGCTGTAGACAAACTGTTCTTTTCTCTCTCTCCAGAGACTAGGGATGAAAATATAAAGATTGTGAGAGTTCGCCCCCTCCTTTCCCCTTTCCTTTTGGGGAAAAAAATATATATATAAATTTTCCAGCTGATCTTTTATACTGTGATATGTAGCCTCAGCCATGTCAAATAATATAGAGTTGCATGATGTAATTATGTGACTTGCATTGAGTTATGTCAGTATGACATACCAGACAGGCAACCTGGTTTAAAAGACCTTCTTTCTTGAAAACTGCAGATAGTTTTCTGAGAGTAGAAAGCAGTTGGTAATGGCTGCCCCTGGTAACAGCATAAGGCCTGACATTCTTCAGTATATTTATTATCGATTTGGTGCATGGGTTGGTGAATGCTGTTGATAACAGAAAATTACTTAGGTTAAAGAAAACCTCGCAGAAGAATAACATTTCCTGAAGGATCAGGTCAAACTGGATGACTGAATGGTGGTGATGAGATGTTGATAAAGTTAAATGTATAACTGTAATACTTTAACGTAGAAGGTAAATATTCTCTTCCAATATGGTTTAACTTTCTAGTACACTGCTGGGTTCAGAATTTGATAATATTGCTGTGATCTTACTAAAAATGTATCTAAATTTCCATATAAATCACACTTCTGCTACTGCTGAAGTTGATGAATTCTCAATAATGGCTCAAAACTAAAAAGAACCAGAAATATTGTTAATAAAAATAGTAGGTGATGCTGAGCATCTTCTAGGAAGCTTTTTGATTTTTCCAGTTGATGTAATTTTGCTATGCGGTTCCCTGTCACTTGCTTCCATGTCATGTGTTAGCCTCAAAAAGGCTTCCTACTCTGCTGCTGTGTTGTTATTGCAGAAGACCAAAGTATTGAGCTCAGACAAGGGGAAAACTAGCAGAAAATGATAGAGATTTTTAACCTACAGTCCACATTTTTATCTTCAACATCTTTTAGAACTTTTAAAATATGTATAGTGAAAACTTATGCATGGTCTCTAGTAAATGGTTGAGAGAAATTTATTATAAAGAAACCTCAGTGTAGTCTTCCAACAATTTCATGCAAACCAATGATTGTCTTCCAGAGTTTATATTCATGGTCATTGACATGCCTGCAAATGATTGTCAAGGCTGTGCAAATTAAGCACATAAATGTGGCTTATTCTGTGTTTAGTTCTATTAACATTTTTGTGTTGATTGTTAACATAATTTGTTACACAAGAATGAAGATTTGTTGTATTTGATCATCTCTTTGATTTAGAAATAAAACAAGCATAAATAATGTTATCCATATACTGTTAACAATGAATAGGAGGACATCACTGATGGCAATGTATTAAGTGATTATATTAAGGAAGCTCAAAATACTATGTACATTAATCTTAAGTTTGTATTTTGGACTGAAATGAAACAAAATGGAGTAAAAGGATAGTTGAATTTCATCTGATCTTATTATAGTAGAAGGTGAGACAAATCAATGTAACAAAGATGTAGAAAGGAAATGGAAAGTGTTGAAAGATAAATGAAGGTATTTCATCTAGCAGTGAATATACGATGACCAAAAAAAATGATCCAATGTAGATGAAAAATAAAGGGTCAGAAAGAGACATCTATAAGGTGTAAAATATCCAGACCAAAGGAGAAGTAGAAAGATTAAAGAATAAAGACAAATAAGTGTAAAAATACCTGGTAAGAAATACAAAGGTGAAGAATAAAAAGAAAAGGGCTGGAGGTTAGGATAAATAAAATATGTTTGAAGTGCCTAAAGGAACAAGATGATGTTGAAGGAGACTGTAAGTAACTGTGAAAATAGTTGGGAAATGCATTTTATGAACATATGCCATAAAAAAATAATACATAAACCAAAATACACTAATAATTTAAAAATCAAGCCTGGGTTTATAACTGAATATGTGCAAATGGGAAAATTCATATTTGGCTTTTTTTCTCTATTTTTCTTTCTAGTTTTTTTTTTCAGTCTTTAAGTTCTTCCAGCTGTTAAGGTGGCTGGCATGAGATCTGATTTTTTTAATTCATCCATTCAGCAGAATGACATTCCCAAGAAGAACGAATTGGAACACAGCAGGAATGATCAGGGGTGATGCAGTTGGCAAGTCATTTTGTTTGCTTTATCATTTGCAATGGGTGATTAGTATCAGATGTAAGAAGAAATAACTGCTGAATCAACAAAGATGTAATCAGATCCTTATTTGTAGAACAATTTGTAGTGGGTAAAGGGGTTGCCAGCTTTAATCTTGGCTGTGTTTTAAAGTTCAACTGCTTTGTTTCCCTCTGAAACGGATTAGAGGTGCTCATACAGGTAGCTACCATGCCAGCACCAGGAGACTAGCTTTGTGGCTTTAACTGCTCCAGCTTTTTTTGAAAGCACATCTGACTGTACGAAGGTGCAAAAGACATAATTAAGGTATTAAAACATCTGAGGATAACCACAAAGGAGGCAATTTCATATAGAAAGTATTTTAAGTATTTTCTCTTTTTCCTTATTGTTTTGTTCTATCCTTTTAGTGACATGTTGAAAAGTATTTGGAAAATGAATCAGCAAAGTACACTTATTTATTTTTAAATGTGCAGTCAGATATTTTTTCAGTATTTTTTAATATTTTAAAATATTTGTTAATGTTTTTTCAGATTTCAGTAATTCAGGCAACATATCATATTAAGTCACACCTTACAAAATAGTCAGGATAGATTTTCAAAGACAAATAGTTATAAAGCAAAGGTGCAATCCACTCAGTTAAGGCTGGATGTGTGACAGAACACAAATTTCAGTAAAATATATGTATGGGGAAAGTGAGAGAGAGATTTTCAACCCTCAGATTCCACAGATTTAAGCAAACTGCTTGAAATTTCTGTATACGACTTTCTCAGAGTTTGTTACTAAACAAAAATATAAATGGTGCTTATACTGTAAATGCAAGGAACTTTACTTGTTAGGTGCAACTTCATAGTGACTTAGCAACTTAATAGTAATCTAATGTGACATATGATAGCTGTGAAAAAGTCTGTGCTGCATTTTTTGTTTAAATGTGTTATTTACTGCTTTTTTGCAAAAAACATTGATGTAATCCAGGTTGCCAGAATGCTTCCACATTTCTACCTAGTTACTGTGAGTTGTTTGAATTGGAAAAAGAAAAATAGGAGGGAGAATAATATCTTGCAGTACTGAGAATCCTTGACTGTACTGAAATCCAGACTGTTTATGATCCATGCCAAAAAAAAAAAAAAAAAGAAAAGTAACAGTTCTATTTAATGAAGTTTTACTTTATAATTCATAAATATTTTTTTATGATTTGAGTGGCATAATATGATGGAGAGCTGGAAAAATGGCTAAGATTCCCCATTTGTTACCATGAATAAACATGTTATATTAATAGTTTTTAAGATTCCACCAGATTCCCCACTGTAGACTTTATGGCATAAGATAAAATAAATTAAGGACAGCTTTCATTTGGGGATTTAAGGAATCTTGGGAATCTTTGGTTTTAATTGCTCCTATTTGTTCTTATTAATTAAATTTCACTAGATGGCACTGAATACAACTTTTCCATAGATTGAGCATGTTCATCCAAGTGTATTTTCTGCCTCTGAGATGTTTCAGGATCTCAGACATCTATTTAAAGTCTATGAAAATATATAGTTTATAATAATAATACTGTCATTTTTAGAGAGGCAAGTTTGCATCTTTAAGAGAAGAGAAAGGCAGGTTCTTGTAATTCCTTTTTTTTTTTCCCTTTGTTTTTAACTGCTTAATTTATATGGAATCATCTTTATGCTAAAATAGTCAAAACCATGCAAACCCATGAGAAAGTATGTTCTTGGAGTTTTCATAGTTTTGCACTTCGTACTGCTTTTCTAGATTTTGATCAAACTGAGAGTTACTAGATTTTTGTCCTTGTAGCTATAAACCATGTTTCAGGCCTTACTCAGAGATAAAGTACTGGATTTCAAAAACTGTGGGTTTCATGCTTTGCAGCCTCTACTTGCATAGACTGGCTTTGGCATGATGCATCTTCTAACAAGATGCTGAAATAAAGACCCTTACTGGGGGGGGGGGGGGGGGGGAGAGTAAATTGCTTCTTTTGTAACTTATAATTGCAGATATGATATGGGTACTTAGATTTTCTAAATCCAATTAGCTAACTTAGAAAATTCAAGTACTTGAGGAGCTGAAATTAGATGTCTGTATCATGTTATGATTATTGCCTAGAAGAAATCACACTAACCTTTAATTTTCCATATAATTATCTTATTTTAGAATTCACTATAATTGGCAAGAAAACAAGCAGAACGTACCAAAAGTACCATACCTGTACAAGCAGAGAGTTTGTCTGGTAAGCCAAGACTGCATGCTACTGATGTATGTCTTCCCAGCAACCTATCCAAAACTTTTCTCACCTTTTCTATACACAAATTTTAAATTTCACTAACTATCCAGTGGGATGCTTGGAAGCTATATGTACAGCTATGACTTCTGATCTGGGTAGGTTGCTTGAAATTAAAAGAAGCAGATAGGTCATCAACTAGGAGCTTGGTGCTTTCACTATAAAGATACTTGTTGCCGACGGAAGGAAGACCCAGCACATCAATATGAGTGAACAGTGAACTTCAACTTTAATGGATAGCTCAGTCGCCTTTTATCTAGTTTGAACATAATCAACTCATACATATTGCAGAAACTAAGCTCAGGATTGGTTAACACTTCCCGGGCTTTTCAGTCTGGTCCTCCTTCTTTTGGCTACTTGTCCCACCTTAGGGACTTTCCCGATGGCCCAAGGGCATCGTGTCCTTGAGCCTGATTGGCTCTCAGCCAGCGGTGTACGTGCCAAGGCTCATGTGAGTTGAGTACGGTGCTTCACCAGCCCATTGTCTCCCAACTGCTCAACATTCACATGTCCCGCCTCACTTAACGATTCCTCCACAATACTTATCCTATTGTTTCCCAAGAAGTTAAAAACAACTGATCTTTGACTTCAATTTACTTGGGAGCTATGCCTTCCATAAATTTCAATTGGAAAGATTGAAGAATTAATAGACATAAGAAAAACCTGTATTTGCTAGGAGTCTATTCTAACTGAAATAGTGTTGTTAGCAGTTTAACTTAAACTTCATCTGCTTATGCCACGTCTTATCAGTGAAAGAAAGAATTTTTAGCCATCTCACTTGGGCATGTTTCATTAACAGAATACTTAAAACCCTGTTTAAGTAGAAATCAATACAGATTATGATATTGGATTCATTTGATATAAAATTATATATAAATTGCAGAGAGAATTGGGTCTTAAATTTGAGATAAGGAAAAAAAAAAAGAAAACATGACTTTTTGCTCTAGTAAAAGGTAGGCACATTGTTCTGGTATTCACAGTTGCTTGATGCAGTAGTAGCTTGTTTTGCTTTGAAATCAAATTAATTGTCCTGTGCTATCCCTGTTATATGATCACCAGATAAGTCAGTTTGTTTTGATTACCACTCTGAAGGTAATTAAAAAATAATCACTGTGTCACAAACATATCCAGCTGAGTAAGAAGCATAGGAACACATTGAATGATATCTATGTACTTCTGTATCAACATCTGCCAAGAGTCCTGCCCTCACCCCATATTTTTTCTGAGCCTCTTAGGTTCTTTTGGTATCCTTTATACATCAGAACTGGGAGTGTGGTGTAGAAAACTAGTAAGAAGTTTCCAGTTCTTTGTAGCTATGAATTTCCGCATTTCTTATGTAAGTGTCATAACATACCCAAAATATTTTGCAGCTAATATATCAGCTCTATATATCTAGCTCTAATGTATCAGCATCATAATGCTTGCTTTGGGTAGTGGTAACAAAATGCAAAGGACAAGATGACCCCCTCCCCCACCCCACCCCCCAAAAAAAAAAGTAAGCAACAGCCGAATAATTCTCTCTTTTCTATCGTGCAAGTGGAATGAACACCTCTAGAAGTCAGTAAGGACTTTTCCTTATTTTGAAGTATTGCAGAACTACATAGTGTACAGCAAATAAATACATCTCACAGACACTTCCAGCTGACAGTGGTTAGTGATTTGAAAAGACATGGCTAAAGCTCTCTGTGCAACCAGATAAGCTCATTTGACTATGGTGGCATTTTTCCCAATTCCCTGATTAGGTCATTGTTTAATCTACTTTGTGGTATTTTACTGTAACTCCAGCTATAAAATCTGCTGGGAGTGGGCAGTTGTGTGAGCACATGCTGTCCATCGAAAGTCCTTTACAGGCCACTGAAATACAAACTCTAAGATGCCTAGATTATTCTCACACACCAAATTTAATTAGGTGATCCAAAGAAAATAATGGAATTACATTATAAAATACAAGTAGATAAATCATTAGTGACCATATGCTGTAGGGAATTGTCCTAAATGGACTGAGAAACTGTAGCTGAATAAATTTATTTTTCATTCTTACAAAGAATGACACCGTGTCTCTGAGAGAGTTAAAAACTAAGAGATTAAATAATAATGGAACGTCAAGGAAAGGGGGAAATGGGAACATTACTGACATAAGGAAGTACTAATTCCACCTAAGCCTGAAATTATCATTCATTCTACATTTTTGAACAGTGAAATTTTAGGAATAAATTGTAAATCTTTAAAAAGACCTTTCAATTATATCCAGAGGTTGGAAAGCAACAAACAATTACCAGGTGCACAAATTTCCTTGGTTTCTTCTTTTTTCTTTTTCTGTTGTAATACTGTGTAATACACAGAGTATCCTATTTATCTTTGCTTGTGAATATGTAGGGGTTGCAAAGCTTATTACATTTGCAAGAGTGCCTTCAGAAATATGACATGATTTAAATTAACTTTTGGTATGAAGGTTTAGTGAAAGAACTGTGTTCTTTTTATTTCAAACTGGACCACTGTTTGCACTACTATTATCACCTGTTAAATGTATTCTTTCCGTCCCTGTATTTCATGACACAGCGACAGAGTAAATCCCATGTAATTTTAATATGTACTTTTAGTACTTTTAAAACTTCTGTATTTACATGTAGAATGCTTACCAACTAACTCTGTTATACTAGTTTGCGTTGTCAACGCAAATTTTAGGAAAGTTTTGTCATCTACTTCCAGTGACTTCCTCTTACCTCCTGAAACAATTAAGATAGTCTGTTACCCACAACCCCAGTAAAAGTATTAGAATATTTCAAGTCTTTAAATAGTCAAGTAACTTACTAATATTTTTCAGAGAATTCTGTTAGATGAATTATAAGAAATTGGACATATTACTTTCAGTGACTGCCTCAGAAGGACATTGAGATATAGGCTGACTAAAACAGAAGTTCAAGGAGTTTGTTTCTAAACCACTGTGGGTGTCCACCACTGTAATTATGCATTTAGAAACTGACTGAATGTTTAAGTTCAACCACCAAATAATTAGTTTGCAAACCTTTCCATCATTTTTTATGTAACAGACAGAATCTGTTTCCAGGATAGTTTTATAAATATTCTGACAGGGAAGAAGAGATTGGATCCTTTCATCCAGACATAAAAGTAGTAACCATATTCTCTGTTCTTCCCCATATTGTGAGCAAGTGGGTCCTTTCCTGGAGAAAAGACAACTAGTTTACAACCTACTCATTGCTCTCCAGAGGCCATACAGGACACAGGAAAATAGTATCAGTGAAGGTAGCTGCTGCCCTATCACCAATAAAAATGCTGAGAAGAGGAGTACCAAAGCTTAGAGTCTGTGAAAAATATTCTGGAGATTAAATATTTCTTTGATGTACCTGGCTTCAAGAGCATTCCATCGTCTTGGCGAAGACATAAATCATGTAGCTCTAACAAAGTCAAAGATGCAAACTTAACTGCACTGAAAAGGATTCTCTGGCTGATTTAAAGGAATAATATTTAGTGTGGGATTTGAGGAGCAAATTCTACAGAAAAAAAAGGAAGAACTGAAAAAGAAAGCAGGGCTACAGAAAGCTACCTCCAGATTTCAAACCTAATAAGACTTCAAACATAATAATAAACTTTTGTTTCCTAGGCCAGCAGCATGATTTTGCTAGAGTGCTTTGCAGGGCATAACCCAAGTTTTCTTTAGTAAATGGAAGGTTAATACACCCTCATTCAGACAATCAGTCTTCTAAAACTGAAGTTTCATAACATTTTCAGTGAAAAATGGAGTTTAAATACACAATGCTGATATTGACAGCATTGCTGTAAATCGGGGGTGAGAAATGCCTCTGCTTTCCAATAAGCTACACACATTTGGAACCCATCACATTTACAGAAGTATTAGGACTTAATGCTATTGATGTTTGTGCTGTATGTGAGAGGGATGCTGATAGAGATGTGGCAAGCTCCAAGAAAATTCTTAACCGAAAATTTTTCTGGTCTGTCTTATTCTCAAGTAAGTCAACACACAGAATCATACTGGTATGACTCTTCTAAAATGGATTAAAATACATATCTAAACTGCTTCTGCCAAATTCAGCATACTCCTTGTTCTTGCTCCACTGACCAATCCAATTAAACAAAAGATAGAAGTTTTCATATTGGATCTGACATGCTCTATGTCTGATTACAGAAATGTTAGCACCTAAGTGGGAGTCTGGAGACAGCATTATTTTTTCTAGAACTGAACTGTAATATGTAGTGTTAACCAGATTGTGACCCACAGAGCAGATGCAATCACCATTTACGCTGATGGAAGCTGCATGATCTAGAAAAAGTCACAAATAACTCTGATTTCATTTGAAATATCACAAGTTGGCAGAGCTGCTTTGCTAATTACTGGTCCATAACTTTGTTGCTCTGGCAGGTTCAAGAGGTGCCAGCACTGGAGAATTCACTCTAGGAAGATTTTCATTGGATAAATTTTATTTGGAAACAGGTTATTATGATTAAATAATGGATAAATATTTGCTCCTACTTACTCAAATGCATTAATGTGTAATCTGGCTTTATTTAATTCATTTATGTCAGAAAATTGATAAATGGTATTTTAGCTACTTTTGGATGCCTGTGAGTGTAAAATTTTGTCCCTTATGAACTCTAAATACAGTGGAACATAATTTTTCATATGATTTCAATGGAATGAACATTTACACCTCTATAGCTTTGCAACATTGTAATATTTAATTAAATGACTGTGGAGTTACATGCATTGTCTATAAAAGCTGAACGTAAACTAGTAACAGAAAGCTACTGGCCCACTGGATGCATTTTCATGTCTGAGGAGTACATAAAAGGATCACAGCTTTGCCATAATGCATATTATACTTGAGTCTTATAAGACATCTGACTCAGCCCCCCAGGCCTAAAAGGATTAAATTTGGCTCTTTTTTTTTGTAGTACTTATAGTACATAAAAAAGTCTTTTTAAGTGTTGTAGCTAGCGGTAGTTCCCTGATTCTGAACCTAGTTTTGAATCCAGCCTACACAGTGCTCCAAAACAGACTAATTTATAAATATTTGCATAAGGAACAGCAACATTGAACACTCTCTACCTGGTCAGTACTGAAGTCAGGGAGAGATGCTGCAACTCTTTTAGTCTCCCCAGAAAATAAAGAAACTTGTTATCTTCTACATTTCTGAGTAAATTTGTAGGATTATTGAACACTGAGGTGATACCGAAGGTGCTCTCCTTTCTTCTGTCTTGCTCTCCACTTTTCTTTTTCTGTATCTGCTATCCCTTTGAATTGGAAATCATAAATGTATTTTCCCTTTCAGGGTTGATTGTAGTTTTTGAAATGTAAGAGAAAAGCAGTAATTGTTTCTGAGGTTGTAGACTAGCAGCTTTTCCATAATTCTGGTGATAGTTGAGGACCAGACTTAATGACTCTGTGCAGTTTCATGATCCCTTGGATCTGTTTACTAGAGGTCCTAGAGGTCATTATTACAATGACCTGTCCTCTTTTTATTTTTTATTTTTTTCCCCTCCATCTAATGCTGCCAAGCTTTTTTTTTTTTTTTTTTTTTTTCTCCCTTGTAGGAACCTGTCTAAAATTTGTGTTATGTCCCTTTCCCTAGCAGCTGGGACACAGCAAACATAACCTTTTCTACCTCATGCCCACTAACTTCAGTAGCCAGCTAAAGTTTCTGTGTAGAGGTGTCTTTTGTCAGTCCTATTTTGTGTGGCTTGCAGTTGAGGAAGGAGAAAATTTCCAAAGCAAAATAAACTGAAGGAAGATTACAACCACACATCATTAAAGTTGTCTTCTATCTTCCCTGTGTAACAATCTATTAGAGTAGTTACTAATATCTTTCTCTATACAGTGAAAGATGGGGAAACAGTGACTTGTGCAGCTAACAGTGCTGCAGGTGTGTTATTGCCAGCAGTGCAAAAGTTGATCTTTGTTAATACGGAAAAAAATAATAATCATCAACCTGATTTTTACAGGAAATTTGAACCTGTGAATTTCCATACATCCTAAATTAATTCTGGATTTCATTTTAAATCCTTCATACCATTACAGGAACAGACTCTACTTGCAGTTTCAAAATTACAAAAGGACTAACTATGCAGTAAACAACCTTGATATTTTCTCTCTCTCTCTCTCTGTACAACCTTCTAATGACTGTCATTGCTTTAGCTTCAAGAGGTTGTGTGATCTAATTAGGGCAAATTGAATAAGACTGCTTTTATGCTAACGCGTGAGAAAGTTAATTGAAATCAATCCATGTTCAGTGAAAATGCTAGAGACATCACTGATAATTTAAAGCAATTAAAAGATGTTGTCCTGAAGCAAGGCAGAAACATTAAGTCTAAGAGCCTGTTAAAAGAAAACTACCTAAAATATTTAAATGATATTATTCAGTTAAGATGGACTGGGGATAGCTGAAGCAATTAGAAATCATAAAGCATAAAATCAGTCACATGTAATCTTCTTTGAGCTAGCTCAAGCCATTTGTTTTTTGTAAAATAATAGATCTTTTTAAAAATCCCATTTGTGACATTTTGTGAACAAAGGTGTACTAATGATATGAGGCGGTAGGCTTGCAAATCTCCAGTTCTCATTTATGGGCCATTGTGCTTTAAGAAAATAGTAGGTATAGAATTTAAATTCAAATGTATTTTCAAATGTATTTGGATATATCTTTTTATTACTTGTTCATAGTACGCAAAACTTCATATTCAATGGATGTGAATGTTATAGCTTTTATGAAATTCCTAAACAAAACAGCATAAACAAGATAAGGGTTTTCACTTCTTATGTCACCATCTCAATCAGTGTACCCATGCAAATTGCTCAGGAGATCAGAATTCATAGCTTCACAATTCTGCAACATCTTTATTTAGAAGTTTCTTCTACCAGAAGAAATAAGATATAGGATAAAGAATAAAATCCAAAAACACATTTGGAGTATCTGCAAAAGTTAATCTACTTTTTATTTAGCCCCTTGAGCAGACATGATGGACTTGATTGTATTGCCTGCCAGCTCTAGCAGGACTTGTGATGTTCGCTGAGAAAGTTAACTGCAATCACACATGCTGGTAATACTGAACAGACATGAAATTGTATTAAAGATTAGTTCTATAATAGAACCTATACCATAGATGCAGGCTGAAGACAGATAAAATTAATCTGCCAAATACAAGTAGTTATCTTTTATGATCTGTCACAGCTTGTACTTGCATATTTTTTTTATAAATATTTATCTTGACCATTCTTAGCCATGGTTAAACATATGGAGGTCCAAAACGACTGATTCTGAGTCAATAGCACAGCGGATTATTATATTTTTAATTAAAACAAAATAAGATAAAAAGGAGGCCCAGCAAGACTATAACTGTGATCACAGCTTTCTTTACTTCTTGTATCACCAAGGGATCTTCAAATAAGTATTTAAGCTCACTTTTACTTGTTACAAGTGTGTTCCATTCCCAGTCCCTGATTATCCATCCCTGGTTCAGTTTTTTGTCCTGATTCCTTAGTACGATTTATAGCATGTCCAGTGGTACTGATCATCTGAACCATGGGCTACATGTCATGTGATGTGTTGTAGTTTTCCTCCCATGGAGGGCATGGTGCATACTTGGCTTTCATCTACACATGCAGATTAGGCATGGCTAACACACAGCAGAGGTAACGGTGGATGCTGGAAGCATAGTGCTGGATGCACTATGGTCTTTTGCATAGTGCACCTACAGGCAGTGTGGAAAGACCCCACACATTCATGTGTTTGGATCCCTCAGCATTGGATGGGAACATAACATCTAAAAGATTTTACATTCTTGCTGTGAAATACAGTCTTGGGGTATATATCAGATAATTTCTATTAAATGTGTCAGCTGTGTTTGCATTTGTATTTCTTCTCTTCATGTATACAATTGTTGGGCTGAATTAAATAAGGCCTGTATTTCTACTGCTGGTACTACTGGTGAGCTGCTTTTTTTCCATGAAGTGTTGGCTTCATCCTGTAATCTTGTGAAAGTTAAGAAACTTGAGTTGAAGTATTTTTTTGCCCCTCCCCACCTTTAATAGAGAGTATATTCTCATTCTTTTAACTGCAGAAAATAAGGTTAAACAAACAAACAATTAGTCCCTGAATGTTTGGTTAATTCAGGAATTATGAGTCATTATTGAGACTAAGCATCTGATATTTTATGCCTTAATTATAAAACTTTTCTTTCTCTGATATTGTTTCTGGGAAGAAAAATAAAATAAAATAAAAAGAACCAACTCTACCCACAAAAAAATAAAAATAAAAATCTCTGGAATTCCGTGCCTATAGCATCTTTTAAAATTCCCGTGTTTTTAAATTTGTAGCTTTTTCTAGCTTCAGAAACAAACAAAAATCTGTTTCTAGTCCTAATCTGAGCATAGAAACTAAACCAGCATTCTATAAGAGGATTATCTCTGTTCTCTGGACAGAATATACTTTATGAGTTTTGAACAGTATTCAGTTAAGTATCAGTTTAGCTGAACAGGTTTTCCCTTGTCCCTTCCTGTTAGTTATATATATCACCTCTAATAACTTTAGCTTTTATGCACTTGCACATCATGCTACAAACTCACTTTGAAAATGCCATGCCTTATTTCCTCTGCAAGATGTTTAATCAAAAATGACCCACAATTTCAAGCATGAATGCCTAACATCTCGTTATTAACCACTACCTGGGACATTTTAAAACATTCTAACCTCATCTGGGATGTGGTTACAGAATCCAGGAGGCTACCAGTATTTTACAGTTTAGGTAACCTAACTCTTCTTAACATTTGGTATGAAACAGTATGGAGAAAGATATCCTGGTCTAAATATTTACTGTAGGAACACACCTTTGTTGTACTCTAAGAAAAGCACCTAAAGAAACAACAAGAATTTGTTTATTTAATTTTCCATGGCCAGGTTATCTTGTTTGATTGGAGTAAGTTTAAGTTTTTACATACTGTGAGTAGATTTTTATATAGAGCAAGATTTTTGCTCTTGATGTGACCTTGATCTAATTTGAAAACTCAAGAAATCAAGAGCCTGCCCAAAGAAGGTCTGGCTTAATTCATTTTCCCTTCTTTGACTTCTCAAGGGTTTCACTACAATTACACTTACCAGTTAGTTCTTGAAATTTTCAGACACCTTTCATCACAGACCTTTCACTTCAATTTGAAGAGTACAGTAAGCTCTTGGCAAAATGATACTGTAATGATTGCCTTTAAATTTGTGTCATGTGAACCAAACATAAATATCCAGAGCCAGCCTTTGTAGTCATGTGTGTTTAGCAAGTCTTACTAGTATGGGAAGAACAACTCCTATTTTTTTATTTTTTTTATTTTAAATAAATTATTTCTTCAGTGGAGTAATGCTTGAAAAATTACTAAGGAGAAGCAATGATTGGGGCTAGACAGGTTTTTTTTGCTTTTTTTTTTCTCTCTTCTGCCTATAAATCAAATTTTTCAAAGTTATTTAGAGATTGTTTTCCTTTTTGAAAGACTATGCTTTTAAGATTTTTTTCTAAGAATGTAGATTATAACTCAGTGCTAGAATAATAGAAATTGTATGCAGGCTATAAAACTAGTTTTATCTTAGAGTGCCTATGTCTTTGACTCAGTAACAGCAGGAGTCTTACCAGTTACAGGACAACCTGTTGATGTGAATGTAAGTGTGAGTGTAAGGGCATGGACTTGTTAAACCACTTCTCTAGTTCAGTAACAGTGGTGGCATTTCTGAAGTTTTTTTCAGGAATGGTTAGGCATGAAGTGCATCTGGCTTAAATGCTTTGGAAGTTATAAAAATACAGCTGAAACTTCCTTTTCATGATAGCATGAGTTGAGCTGATAAAATGGTGGAAAAGTGTGATGAATTTGGTTTTACTTTTCTTCTGGATGAGGGAATGGGGAATATTGTACAGATAAAATATAAAGCAACAAAATGCAGGATCATTCCTGCCAGCTACAATTTTTTTTACTCTGTTCTTTAGTACTGGGGTTTTGTAATACTGCTAGATAACTAATTAAGGCTTCAGTATACAGCATTCTGCCATGAAAATAATCATGCACATCTGAAGGTCATACTAAATTATGTGGCTCTTAGGTACATAATGTCAAATTCTAATAATGCTATTTCAAGATAATGATATTGTTTAAAAATTGGAATGCACTTACTATGGGAAATAAGAACTTATTCCTGCATGGTAAAAGCAGGTTTCTTTTAAGAAGGTCATTTTTGTTTGTTTCTCTACAGAGACCCTCATTTGCAGAAAAAGTACAGTTGGCTCTCTGAAACTTTGTCATTTATGAGTTGCAAAGTGGGATAGTTTGGTAATATACAGCCTGCAGTGCTCAAATTAAAAAAATATATATATAATAAAAAATCTTTTGTGGCTATTGGTTACAGTGCTCTTGCAGCACTTCATCACTACATTTAACGCATCTATACAGCTTTGACATGCAGTGTAAAGCTGCTTGGATGAAATTCAGCTGAGTCATAGCTAAAGTTCATTTGATATTTTTGTCTGTACTGGATATTCTTATCTGCACCATTATGCTAAATGGACTACAGAAAGATCTACTGCTGGTATCGGAGTCTTCTTTTCCTTACCTTCTTTTTGTTCTTTAAAAAATATGGTACACATTTGTGTATTTTGGGCATTTTGCAATGCTTACTGCATTTTAAATGTTACATTTTCTCTTTCACTCATTTTCAATTGAGCAGATATCACTTCATTATATTGTCCCTACTCTTACTATGTGTGTGAATGTTTTTTTTGTTTTTAATCTCCTGGATCATATAATTTAAATAATACTGAAAAAAAATGTTGCTGCACACAGCCTTTGGGATTAAAACTAACTCTACAGTCATCAACACAAATCCCAAGAGAACAGCCTTCATACTTGGTGCTCCATCTCTGATCTGTCCCGTGGGCATGCCTTGGGGAATTCTGAGGTCAGCTCTCTCAGGACTATAGGTAGAAAACTGTGCGTGTACATACAGGTTGAGGGAAAATATTAAATACAATGTCCTTATCCATTGTAATCTGATGTCATTTCAGAAGCCAAATCTCTAATTCTTTTACACCACGTGCTGAATATTTTTGTTCCTGTTAAAAACAATAATATTGTCTTCCTCTTCATAAATGTAGTGATTTGATATTTTTTTATGAGTTTCATCCATTGCTGAAATAGAGACAAAATATTTCCAATAAGTGTTTTCAGATTGGACATGAATTTGAGCTATGATTTATGTTTTTGGGGAATTTAGAATAGTATTTTTCTTCCTAACTGTATGATGATGTGTGGAAAAACTTTTTAAGTAGAATCACAGATGTTTTTAACATAAATATTATATTATTTTTTAGATTACTAATAAGAACAAAAAGTATATTCACTGACTACATTTTTTTTTCTATTGCATTTCACTTTACTTTAAATATCACTTCTGTTTCCACTATACTGTTTGTTTTCCTAATGAGTTTTCATGGAGTTTGTCTCTCACTAGCTTTTTTTTTTATCCTGTGAGATTTAAACGAAGTAAAACCACTCCCTGTGTACATGTTTAAAGAAAAAGCTTCCATCTTTTTTAAGTATTTGCTGAAAAATCATAGAATCAAAGAATATCCCGAGTTGGAAGGGACCCATGAGGATCATCAACTCCTGGCACCGCACAGGTCTACCCAAAAGTTTAGACCATGTGACTAAGAGCGTAGTCAAATCGCTTTTTAAATTCAGATAGGCTTGGTGCAGTGACTACGTCCCTGGGGAGCCTGCTCCAGTGTGCAACCAATGAACCAAATGATAGAGAATTCAATTATAACATTAGTCAGGTGCTTATGTTTTGCTCATCATAGTGCTTTCCATGAAAACAAAGCCACATGGAACCAGAATCACCATGGCTGTTTGACTTCTGTTATCTCAAAGATCTACCTATTTAAATAAAGTTGCAAGACGGTGCTTGGCTGTGGGAGATAATAACATTGAAAAAAAAAATCTTGAAACATTGCTTTAGACAGATTTTTAAATTTAGTCTTTTTTTACTTGACATAAATTCTAGTTGACTTAAATATGCTGCTTTGCACACCGGGCTGTGTGTGAGTGTTCTGAAGCATAACTGACTGATTGATGCCTATGTAGCTTTGGCATATCGTGCATAGCCATTCAGTCCCTCTTGGACTGACACAATAATGCCACTTTATATATACAATTAGCTTGCTCTTTTCTCCTGGGATCAAAGTGTTATAGTGCTTCTGAGCATCGTGATTTGTTTTTATGTTATAAAGTTCAATTGGTCTTCACCTGTTGCTAGTTCATGGAGTGTGACCTATACTTTATTTAGAGTTGTCTTCTCACAGTGCTTCAGTAATCACACAAATGAAAGTGAAATATGTTCTGATTTCTTCTGGAACCTATTAATGAAGAAAATGATTGTATTTTCTTGTGGAATCTTTATGTAACGTACATTCAAATCTGTTACACACCGGTAAAGAGCCTGAAAAGCAGGTGGCATCTTTCATGTGAAAAGTTCCAGCAGTTTGTTCTTGCTTTCTAAAGGGAAAAAATCTAAAGTCATTCTACTCTAGATTAACAAAAGGCCTTTTGCTATCAGTTTGTATTGCTTTAGAGTTTATTCCTAACAAGCTTTTGTCCTTGCAGTGTATAGTTACTAGCTGTCAGAAACCATTTATGTAGCTTGTGAATTTAATCAATTCAGCATGTCTGCTGAAAGTAATAAAACATCATTGAAATTCTGTTTTAAGGAACTTAATACACTAACTGCTTCCCATGTAACTACAGACAGCTAACTGTGAGATATGGACACTATATTGCTAAGCTTTCAAAAAAAAATTGCACTGATATCCTTCGTTGCACTTTAACTTATAGATTAATAGACCTTTAAATTTGAAACCAGCTCATCACCTTGTATTAAATGAAACAAGGCTATTTTGGACTGCTTGTAATAAAGGGTCAAGACCATCTTAAAGGTAGATAAATTCTGGCTGGAACAGAAGAAAATTTCAGAAACTTATATTCACGGAAGCCACAAGGTCTCCATCTCTAGGATTTCCTGTTCTATTTATCTCTTGGGCAGCAAAGTTTACATACGGATACTTTGTGGTTGTTCTGGTACACCATAATCTTCCTTTTTAAATTTATACAGGTGCTAAATCTGAACCTTGCCATAGGCAACCTA